CTGCCTTGCTACAATCCTACCATGATAGGTGTTCTCAGTGTCTTCCTAGATGATGCTGCATCACTAACGGGACAATGCACTACTGAGGTGTCAAAAGGAGACGTTTGAGGCATCTGTTATTTAGTTTGTATAACAACCTCTCATCTGTGCTTGGTAATGATGTTGATGTTCAAATGTATGCTGATGATACAGTCATTTACACACAGGATAGACATAAAATAAGCGGCAGCCATATTGTCAGTAGCAATGGATTGGAGTTCAAAATGGTGTGGAAAACATCAAAAATGTCTTTCTTCAAAAAACAAAACAAAACAAAAAAACAAAGTAATTGATAAAGGAGAAAAAAACATCTATTGATGAGTATAAACATCAGGGAACTCATTAGAACTCTACTATTAGGTTTTAAAATATATTAACTACTGCTCTAAAATAAAATTTGTCTAACTTTTGATGCATAAGAGACATGCTATCCATATGGATGGATAAATACTCTAACATTCCAGAGTGATATGGGACACGTGAATTCTTTAAGCATAGCCTTTACACATTCTGCAATGACACCTTCATATTCTCATGTTCTGTTTTCAGCTCTCCAAATATGACAATATGTAGCTTTTGACTTTCCCTGCTGCTTCTTTATGTTACAGAATACCATAGAGTGCCCATAAACATATTGCTCCAAGACCTTTAAAATGGCATAACTGTCGGCTGTAGCCAATAATGTTCTTTTTGCTTTCACTATTTGCCATTTCAGGCCAGAGGACGGGGAAATCCACCCTGAGATCTGCCGGCTTTTCATCCAGCTGCAGTGCTGTCTGGAGATGTACATCACAGAGATGCTGAAATCTGTCTGCCTGCTGGGATCCCTGCAGCTCCATAGAAAAGGTTAATGCACATAGACTGCATGGCGGTTAATGGGTAACGTAAAATCAAGTTTAAAAAAAAAAAAACTTGAGATAATTAACCATAAAGTATGAAGCAAATATATTATTTAGTATTTCAGAATGAATTTTGTAGTTTTTTTTTATGTTTGTACCAATTACCACCTTTAGCTTATGTTGCATTAACTTAACTGAAGGTTTAGTTAGTTAACCTTGAACTTAGCTAGAAGTTAATATAAGCTAAAGGTGATAAATGATAAGGGATCAGATTGCAAACTTTTCTTCATCGGCTTTCTCATTTTCAGATTTTTTACATTTTGGATATTAAATAAATCGTATCAAACTTATTGTCTTTGTGCTTTAGGTAAAGATTCATGTTGTCCTCCTGGAATCGACAGTAAGACGGAAGACTCTGACATCCCCATCCTGGAGGACACCTCTTCTTCACCCACTGATTGTCCTCAGCTCTGTTGGCTGGTGGCCACTGATATAGAAAACATTGAAAAGTATGTTGAAAAATGTTTTCTGAGAACAACCTGAACTTTTTATGTTTTTTTTTACGTAGGCCTTCAGAACTCTCCTCACATTTAGACACAAAGTAAAGAAATAATACTCGAAAACATATACAAAGCAGCCCTGTGATTTTTTAATTTATTGTATGCTTAACTAATTTAAATGTAAATGAGAAAAAGGTTTTCAAAGACGTTATATAAAGTTGTTTAGTGGGAGACCTGTTTTACACAAGGAGCAAGCTGATAAAGTCTACCCTATGAAAAGCCTCATCGAAAGGACTTTAGGATATTCTTTATAATACTGCAAAGAAGTGATTCATGCTCACTGGATTTTTTTCAAAACTATCTCTAAAATCTTTGTCCAGTTATAGTCATAGAGGAATCAGCAGATGTTTTCACAGCATGTCCGGTGGTTTAATATGGATGTTGAATATTCATTTTAACAATGTAATCAAATCCACAACCGAAGATACACAATAAAAACTTTGGACAATCTTTTATTAAAAATGTTCTGCAAAATTTACTAAAATTGCAATTTCTGCCAACAAATTTTTCGAGTAGGTGTTCAAAACTTCAACTTGATGTGATTGAAGGAAACTGAAGAAAACTGGAGGCTATTTTAAGTTGGGTTGGCTCTCGAGAATTGAACAAAACATGAGTGTGGCTTCACTTTAATAAAAGAGCTGTCCAGTCTGGCCCATTCAGCATTTGCAGCCAAAATATGTTGTACAAAGGAGAGAGAACGACCATAATGTGATAACGGAGACATGGTTTGGAATAATAGAGTGGTCTGTCTTTGAGGTACTGCGTCAAACTTCCTTTGCTGCTGCTTCCTCCTCCGGCTTTGACTACCCAGCCTATAGCACAGGACTGCCTGACTCCATTCACAGTTGTTCTTTTTTGTTTGTTTGATTTTCTGCACCAGAAAATCAGCAGGAACTCAGTAACCTGCAGCATCAGAGACATATGTGTAAAAGTTCACCCCTGTGAAAAGAATTCAAAACATTTACTGTATATTCAAGTACATATGTGTGATATTTATAGAGTTGGAAGTAGTTCAAGGAAATAATTCCTAATGAAGTTCATGAAAAGTAAAAATGGAGAAGTTGAGACTATTTTAACCAGACAAATGGTTATATGTAGCTCCTTTGAACCATCCTGACTTCTTTTACTCTGTCTCTAAATAGAATCGGAATTGAGAATAGTTTGGAACCGGAATCATAAGTGGAACCAGAATCGTTCAAATTCAAACGGCGCTCAAGCTCAATTTTAAGTTCCACATTTCAGTTACTCAAACTTTTGTATTTTTACAGGGACATGAGAGATATGAAGAACCTTCTAAGTAAACTCAGGGAGACAATGCCTTTACCACTGAAGAACCAAGGTAAGGGAAAGAGTACGCCTCATTTAAGGCATATGGACACCAAGTTTTATTCAGTAGAAAATAAAAATAAAAATGCTATCCATATAATCTTGAGAAGTCCTAATAGGTAAAGAACGATGGGATTTCCTTGCCTACACTGTATACAAATGGTATGATATATTCAAAACTTTATATATGGTGTGTAAATATACATTGTATATTTATATATTGCATACAAAAATATGCCAAATACAGCCATTATAGTTTGTGTGACTATATACCAGAGCATATCCATGATGCTGTGGGCTGCCTCACAAAATCAATTTCCTTAACTCTCAGTCATCTCAGTTCCCAGACATAAAGCCTGTAGTGAACCTACACAGTAAGTTTCAGAAAATAAAGCATAAGAGATGACTCAGGATTCATAACAATCTACAAAATATAACATTCCCACTTCAAGATTATGCAACTGTAATGAAATGTTTAACTGTTGTTTTTTTTTTTTTTAAGTTATATTATCTAGACATTTATGATCACTTCGACTATCATCCATAAACTAGTCTAGGTAACAATTAAATGTGTTTATGTTCATTTATTTTGCCTTTGTTAAAAAGTAATTATGCGTTCTTTTCTCCAGATGACAGCAGCTTGCTGAACCTGACTCCCTACCCTCTTGTCCGACAGAGGAAAAGGCGTTTCTTTGGGCTCTGTTGTCTGGTAACCAGCTAAAGTCCCCACCTTCTAACATAGGAGGCGACAACAAAGACACCATCACCCACTGTCTGTCACCACTCGTGTCTCCCACCGATCTACTACTGCCACTTTCAAATGTATTCTCTTTTTTTTAAAGGCTGCCCATTTTATAATTTTATTTTGTAATACAAAGGAGAATTGTAACTGCAATGTAATAAAAATAAAACACCATAATCATGTATTTTAAGATATTTTGCAGCTTTTTTTTCTCTCTCTTTTTTTAGTAAATAAATCAGCTGCTTGTCTAATTTGAAAAAAAAAAAAAAGAATGTGAGCTTACATGAAACAATGTCATTGTTTGATTAATATCACAGTCCCGAATGAGTGAAGTAAGGATTCATGTTTCAAAAAAAGGGAATTTAAATGTCTGTGTTGTCAGAAATAATGTGATATGACTAAAAGCGATCTGAAGAATCAAAGGCCAAACGCCCAGAGATGGTGGGATGCCTTTGTCAAATATTAGATGACAGGTTTGTGCAGAAAAGTTGTTGTGTATTACAGTCTCTGTTTTCTGTTTCTTGCTGTTTTTGTTCTTACTGTACTTAATTTAGTCTTCCATAAACCAAGAACCTGTACTCAGCTTAAACTATCCAGCTTCAAAATGGAATATATGAGACATTATTCAAAGGAAAAGTTATTTGCACACAATATCTATCTATAAAGACGTTAGACTTGTACATACACATACTCTTTACGCAAGGCTCTTAATTATTTTCAAAGCTGGAGGTGGTTAGCATAGAGAACCTGTTTTGGGGTAGTAAATGAGGGAGGATCTTGTACTAACTGAGGTATAATGGAAAAGGAGAATGTGATAATAAAAGCTGTAACAGGTCATTTTACATTGTTAATAAAACTTTGTTATTGAAACCACTTAAATGGTGTGTCACACTTGTCTTACAAGTAATACATCAAAATGTCCATAGGGTGGAGACAGAGAAACAAAATTGAAAGACTATAAGGGGTTTATTGTGAACACAAATACATGAACAGAATATATGTATCATATGTCATTTTGCTACAAAAGTAACTGCACATTTCTGTTGATATATACATAATGGCATCTGACCTATTAGGTGCTGTCATGACCCTTGGGATATTTTTTGGTGTAATTGTGTAACTGGAAAATTGCTTTGTTTTGTTATGTATACTTATTTGCATTGTTTTAGTTTTTCTATCTGTACTTATTTTGCTCTCAGGTTCCTTGTTCACAGTGGGCATGCATCAGCGATCTGGAGAAAGCTAAGTAAATAATGCAGATAAGCTGAAGGCTGGACTTCCTTAGTACTTTAACAGTGCCACAGACTGATGAAGTCCTCGCCATGCTGCCTCGATGCAGTAGTTTTTTGCAGAAGAAGCCCACACTAATTATTAAGTGCCTATGATATGTATATAGACACACTTTTTATTTTTATTTTCCTGAGAAAATTAATTTGACGCTTTAATTATATATGAGAGGGCAGAACTCTTGTTCTCTGACAAAGAAACCTCACTGAAACACGTGTTCTAATTTATTGAATATGACTCCATACGCATATCATTTCCATGCGAGTCTGACACAAGCACGTACTGACACACATGGGCTCACCGTATGAGAAGGCAGCGAGCCAGTGGTAGAAATAGACCGCCAGCAGGAGTGTGTTCTGCCAGCAGGGAGCGTCTACACCGTCAGTTACAGTGAGCAAATCTCTTAAAATACATTTCAGTTTTAAATCCCAACAGTGGAATTTACATGATGATTTTAAGGAACATTTTTACATTTTCTTTTCTCAGGTAAAGAACTTCAATTTCATATGACAGTCAGTTGTGTTTACAAAACATGCAGATCAAAATGCAATGTTTCCATTACATTCAGAGTAACTGCTTGAGACCGTTTAATGCATTCTGATCAGGAGTCTTTAAAAGTGTCAATTAGTGAGGAATAAACCATACACAAAATGCTTCATGACTGGGAATTAAAAGCACTTTAAACAATGTAAGTTAAATGTTTTATTGAACAAAACAAAAAAGGAAATAGAACAAAATAAAGAAGAAATTAGAAGATGCAGTTGTCAGTTTTCCTCCTGACCCTTTAAGCTTTTGCGATGTTTTTAAACATGCTACATGTAGTATCTTGGTATGTCTATAAGGCATTTATGTGTTGAAACATGAGGAAAAGAAGCATGTGTTGCAACAGTCACTTAACCACTGATGTGTAATAATTAAACAGAAACATCTGGGCTTCTGCTTAGGCTGCTGCCCACATGAATTGATGGTCAGGAGCAATTTCATGCATTTGGCTTGTTGAAACGATTGGAAATTAATACATTTTATTTCCAAGCCAACCCTTCCGCAGTATGCAACTGGTCAAATGCCGCTGAAGCACAAGGCAGATAAACAATAGCATGAGTGGGAGGTATTAGGAAGCACATGGCTGGATACTGACAACCGTCACCTTCTCCCCTTTGCATCGTCGAAGTCCTGCTTCACACTCGCTCATGGTTTGTGGTGCAATCGTTGCGTCCTCACCAACACGGATGCACACGCTTTCTCCTGGAATCAAGCAGTCTGCTGAGTCTTTACAGCGACACTGATTGGTTTGGGCTGACAAAATAGTGTGAGAATAGAAAGGGATGATTGATGAAAACCTAAAAATACCAGGGATGATTTTCAATTGTTTGTGAGCTTCTATGTTCTCACCGTCACAGTTTTCCCACATGTGACATCTGGTGCAGTCTGTGTTGCTGCGCTGTGGCCACTTGCAGTTGCTGTCGTCTGCTATCTCAAGGTTTTTCCCAATACATTTGATTGCCTGAATCTTGCACACAGTCAAGAGAACAAACTGTCCATCTAATGGACTTATGGCACACAACTCCAGCGAAGAACTGATAATTAAAAAAAAATGAAGAAAAATAATAGCCAGCTTGCAAGCAAAATGCTAGATAATCACAGTGGTGGTTAGATCAGCAAATATACCTGCACTCAGGAGGCATTCTGCAGACACATTTTCCTCTAAATGACTTCTGCCATTGTTTGCATTGTGCTGGGGAAGCAGTGGGCTTCTGGCTTCTTTCAGCTGTGGGATTTTTTTTTTTCCCCCATTGACAGTAAAGAACAAAAATAAGTAAAAAGCACTTCTGTACTCTAAACTGTAGTAAAGTGTCATGTCTCAGCAATCTACCATCATTTTGAATACAGTGCCAATAATAGGTATTCACCCTATTGACTGTTTTGGCTCTCTTGATATGAGTTTTTTTTTTTTTAATGGTGGCTTTTTCATCACATAAAGCCCATAAAGCTTTGAGTGGTGAAGAACCTGGAGAACAGTTACATGCACAGATGAGATAAAATAGGGGGACAACAATACCTTGGATGCACCTGGTTTGAGCTGGGTCTGGAGAAAAATTCAAACTGGAATCACAAATAGCCGTAGCTTCACCATCTAATGAACGACCATGTGGACAGGAGAAGCTAACAGAGTCTCCCAGATGATAAGCCTCCTGTGAAGGAGATGCTACGACATCCTCTGCAAGTGGAGGAAGCTTACACACTGAAACTAGGAGGGGAAAAGCAAACACGGAGATAATACAGCAGTTAGTTAACTATGATACTGCACTTCACATTTATTACAAATATAGCTACCTGCACAGAGCCCAGGGTTTGCAGACCAGGTTTGATCAGCATTGCATTGGAGGATGCTGATACCAACAAGATAAAATCCGGCGGTGCAGCTATATTCCACTCTGTTACCCACATAGTAGTTGTCCTTGGGATCCTGTGCAATGTGATTGGAGAACTCTGGTTATAAGCTTACTTAGTTAATCCATGTTGGAGCAATTAACAGAAGCTGTCCTGCAAAGACGCAAGTTGGGCCAAAATATTTGTTTCAATAAAAAAAAAGTGTAAAAAGGGAGACAGCACCTGCAGAGGGAGTTGGATTACAGATTGAATTTTTCTGAACTGTAATGCAATAGTTTTCAAGCCTATTCATGACATTGGTTCAATGACACATTCAACTTGGACTCAGTAGATTAAGGGTTAGGCTCGATGTGGACAGCACTATGAGTTTTGTTCGAGTTCCACTTTTCCTTTGCTCCTCGTTGTACAGTAATATAGCTTCATCTTTACCAGGATGTAGCCGTTGATCAGATTGGGTGGAGTCACACACTTCTGAAGTTCTGGGAGAGTTTGATCAAAGCACTGAGGCTCCATGGTTCTGTGGAAATGTTAAAATAAAAAGCTGCATTCAACAAAACACTGTCTCCCTAAAAGGTTAGCTTATTACAATCATTTAATGAACATCTACAAATACATGAATTCATATTGCACATTGCAACTAGTGTTTGCTCTGACTTTAAGTACTCCAGGTCCTCTTGTTCTTCACAGCCAGCGGTCTCAGTTGATTCTCCGATACAGTGATGGCCGCCGTTCTGAGGGGAAGGGTTAGAGCAAGAGCGACTACGCGAACTTCGACCCCCAGAACACAAAGACCAGGCAGACCAACAGGACCAACTACCATGGATCACACCTTCATTTAACGGGTGCAAGAGAAAAATAAAAGCCTTTATAGCATTTCATTTTAGAAGCAATTGTAAAATAGTAAATTAAATTGTATGAAAAACAAACAGCCACCTGGTTGGCCCTCTGCCTCAACTCCTTGCTCACAAGCCAGCCCTGATGTGCCAGTTTTGCAGATGCATTTGCATTTGTCTCCATCCATGACAGCCAGGCCATTATTTCTGCAGGACTGGCAGTGGCAGGGATGGCTCTCATACAGGTATTGTTCTATGGCTTTACGCAGGAAGAGTCTCTTAACTCCAGAACACTGAACTTCCTTAACCAGCTCTGACAGAGGTCGAAGCTATCAAAACAAAAGAGTTAGAGGGTCAAACTAAAGAGAAGAGTCCTTTCTTTAAATAAGGTAGGACATTGTTTCCTTCACCTTTTGTTTTATGACCACAGGTAATGACGTGATAGAGTCAGCCCAATTTGAGTACAATTCCCAGTTCTTGTCTGCATCATCAAGCTGCATTTTCTCTAATGCTGCAATGTGTGATGGACCTCCACCCTGCACCTCCACTTTTGCATTATTGTCAGACGTGCTGGTATCTGTTTCAAAACACCTTTATGGATAAGAAAAAGGCAATATCTAGCATATTTAGATTTCTTTATGAGCTGGAAAAATTAGCAAAAGTCTTACCACTGTGCCATGTCCTTGAACCTGTAGATGTTGTGCAAACCACTCTCGTGATAGGAAAGAACAGAATCCAACGTTTTTTCCTTTCGCATTCGTGATTGTCGAACCTCTCACTCTCTTTAAAACAGACAAAAAGAGAGGGAAATGCAGTCATTTAAACTACCTCTAATTTCTTCCAAAAAGTTTCTTTTTGCACTAATTTACAATTTTCTTCAGTTCAATTCCTGCAAAGGTTCATGACAGACTACTTAACTTAATTTGCTTCAGAAGAACATGGCAAGTAAAAATTAAAAGAGGGCTTGAAAAGGAAATTATGCCAAAAGAATTGAAGTTATTATAGATCCATAGTGGACATCATATTCATATTTTTAACAAACTTAGCTTGATTCCAGATTGCTGTGATGAGTGATCAGATAAAGTGTGATTACTTCAGACCAAAAGTCAATATCAATCAACTTAGTCACCTAAGCAAATTGCAAGTGTTTTAACCCTGCCGCAAAATTACCACCAAGCAAAATTTCCGTTAACCTTCTTTTAACCGGTCTCAGAGAAAAATAATAAATGTTTATTAAACTGTTTTTGGAAATTTGAAAATCCTTACTGATGCGATTTTCAGTTTCTTCATTGATTGAAACGATGGAGTTCAAGGAGCCCCCCATGCTTCCCTCAGATATGTAGTGTGTTCCAAACCTCTCCAAAATCTTCCTGTAGGCTGAGTAGTCGTAAACAGAGGGGAGCTTGGCCAGGGCCTTCCAAAACTCCTCTGATATTGGAAGGTACTTGGGAGAGTTGCTTTGGAACTGAGCTACCTCTATCTCATTCTTTAACACCACAATCCTTCTAGTCTATAGAGAAAGAAAAAATGTCATTTAATGAACATCATTTTTAATCATGGGTTTAGTTTAGAGTTTTCAACAATATTTCCTGTTGAAAAGCAAAAATGTGAGTCCAACGTACTTGAGACGTGTCATGTTTATCATGGAAGTCATAATTACGATGTCCGCTTGTTGTCCCGGCTACTGTCTGTCTGTTGACAATATCTTTTGCATAGTGCCATTGGCTGGTAAACATCTCATCACTGAAATCCTTTTGGACTGTAACCTGAGAAAATAACAGGATTAATAATAATATCAAGATAAACAAATATTTGAAAAAAAAAAAAAAAACTTTCTCCATATAGTTTAAATCTTTCAAGTGATAGATGAAAGAAGTGGGTAGCTTTTTGACCAATCTCCTTTTGCAGAAATAAAATATTCATCCTAACCAGAGACTTGTGCAAACCACTTAGGGATCTATGTGTTTTGTTTATAGAAGTGAGGTCTGCAAACTGAAGGGAATAGTTGTACAACACAACAGGAGAAAGGATAATAAATCTGTTCAAAATATATGCCAGAAAAGAACCATGTTGGTATGAAGTTCCACCTGTGATAAAGTGAAAGAATGACAGAAACCCAATTATCAATCATTTTTTGCTCTGAATCTTTTACATGACGCCAGACTTTACTCATTGAGTGATACACGACTGAAAGAGACAGAGTTCAAAGGTAAATGGTTTGGACTTGTACAGCGTTTATCAAGCACTTCACACTACATTCAGTCATTCATCCACACACTGAATATGGCAAGCTACAGGAGGCAGACAAAGTTGGAATTGAGCCAGCGGCAACCCACCAATCGCGGGACAAACTCCTACCACCAATGCCACCATCGTCCCAACCAATGCCCTGATTCTTCTACTAACCAGGAAGTTGTACTGAATAGCGCTGAGGGGAAGCCGATAAATGGTTTTGTGGACATCACTAAAGACAGATCGACACTGGCCCCCAAAGCTCTTAGTGTTGATGACACTTCCTCTGCTCTTTCCAGATACCACATCGAACCTACAGGGGGAAAAAGGCAATTAGTGGAAATGGATTTTATTTAGGAATATTAGTGTAAATGCAACTTAATGCACATGCATGATACACTTTTTAAAGATTATATTTGTAAATGGTTTTGAAAGTGGTCTCTGTGTTGGTCTATCGCATAAAATCCCGAAGTTTGTGGTTATAAAGTGACAAAATGTCCAAAAAGACAAAGCATGGGAATGCATAGGCATGTTGTGCTTTTTCAGATCGTTAAATGCAAATGTATCTCTGCAAAGGTTTCTCACTGACCCATTCCCAAGTAGCTCTACTTGAGGAGGGGGAACCGTATGTTCACACGTGATGAACTTTTGAACCGGACAGTCCCTCTCATCTAGTCCATCTTCTTCGCAGTCCTGATCTCCATTACACAACAAAGACTTGCTAATGCACTTCCCTGCAGATAAAAGAAAAAACAAATATTTAAGGGTTACTGTATTTTGTTTTGTATTTTGTTTAAAGTAAAGTTTATTTGCAACCTGATCGACAACGAAATCTGTCTCCGCATCCATCATCCAATGGACAGGCTTGCGTGGTTTCACAGGGTCTGGTCTCAGTGCGGCCCCCATCACAGGGGTTCCCATCAAACTGAGCATAGACAGCCATGGCTCGGCTTCTTGTCTATGACGTGAAATGACAAAAATCAGCTTTATGAGTTACAACCCTTTGCAGATGGGGGAACCAAATTAGCAAAAGTATTTAAAACTTCTCCAAACCTGCAATTTGGTGCAGGGATCACAAGCTGACCAGCTTCCAAAAGGCCCCCACTGGCAGTGAACACGCTGCACACAGAACCTTACAGACATAATTAAAATCTAGTAACTCAGAACACTGAAGGTAAGTGAAAAAAATAAAAACGGCAACACATCATGTTTGTTTGTTTTTTATCACCATGGATTTGTAGTGAAACATTAGAATGAATAAACTTACACTCTGGCCGAGTGCAGGGTCAGGAACAGCAGCGAAACTGTTGCACAGAGTTGCACAATATTCTAACAAGAGAATCATAAAAAACAAAAATGAAAAGAATGCACATTCTTGTTAAGATCGCAATCAAATGCTAAACATCTGTGCTTATCAAGAACAGCCGTCAAGAACTAGAAATTGTAGTTATACTTGCCTTCATGGTGTTCGAAGCTGAGCAAACAGGCGACATGTGTGCAGGCTTTCACACTGTGTAAGTATATTTAAGGGGAGTGTCACTGCTGGGAAGATGCCCCATGGAATTCAGTTTATTTCATAAGGAAGAGTATGTGGGGGTGGATGACAGGGGGAAGGATTGTTTCTGAAGAATGTGTGTGCTTCTTTCGATTTGATGAAAAAAAAAAAAAAAGTTTGGTGGCTTCTCCAGCCAAAAAGCTTGTGCAAAGATTCCTTCCAAATCCCGAGTTTACTCAGTAACATTATCTCACTATGGAAATATGGAGTTGTTTAAATGAAGGCCTCTATGTTCTTTCAGGGTCTCTAGAAAACCAGTGTTTATTTTAACTTTCCCCTTCACATACAATGACTTTGAAAAACAAAATATCTGCCTGAAGAAAGATTTGTTTCCTTAGCAGATCCAAATAGTCCATAGGTAATCATCCATCAGTGTTTGATGATGGGGTTAAATTTTGAAAAGAGTTTTTGACTCTTCAAACTGAGCACCACTTAAACTGAATAGCAGCTGAAAAACAGCTTCTTGTCTGTTCCCACGTTAGGGCTACAGTTCTCTACAGGTTTTTGAATTATAAAGTATAATAGTTTTCTAGGATGTTATTCACATGAAATTCATTTTTTTTTCTCTATTACTCAGAATTTTGGGTGCTTGGGACATATTACAGCATTAACCCATTCACTCCCACTGGCAACAATTGTAGCCAGACATTTTTTTTTCTAACTTCGGGAAGCTCTAAAATAATTGTTTTGACTCTTGGCTGCTAATTGAACCAGTGAAAGCTGAAGAATGTTAATGTGTTAGCATTTATCTTTATTATAAGTTAGGTTAATGTTTTGTATGTTATTGTTTTATTGTTATATTGCTGATTTTTTTTGTTGTTGTAGTTATTTTAAACTAAATTTGGCATTTTATTTATTTATATATTTTTAGGAAACTATAACTTGCTAATAAATATTATTAGTTGCGATTTAGTTTAACAAACACTGGAGGGCAACAGAGGTCTGAGATGCTTTTCTTTTCGTGGTTAAAAAAATGTGCATTACTAAACTAAACAAAAACCTGCCTGTATTTTGCATAACTCAACAAAAGATGACCCATTCTATCAGCTTAACCAGCTTGTTGACATTTATAAATTATAAATGATAAAAGATAAATGCTTAATTATGTGACAACCACTGGTATTTTTTTTTATTTTTTTTAATCCAGCTTGGTATATTTGCCATATTTGTCTGTATTATCCTCAGCCCTCTCTAAATTTGGCTAGTGCAGTCAGGGTGACATACTGTGCATATTCATCACACACTAGCTGGCAATACTCAGACCTAAATGGATTTTTATATTATTTATTTTTCTTTAGTGAGGCTACAGGAGAGGCGAGGTTGTCTTGCCTGGCACTTATTTTGGCTGCTCCTCATTTTGACAAGTAACTCTCGGAGCCATTTTTCACGCTTTCAATTTTAGGATGTCATATTAATGTAAAGCTTGGTGTTAAAAATGTGCTGCAAAATCTCATAGACTGTACACTTTTGACAGAGTTTTGTTTACAATTTAGATATACAATTTGAGTTTTCAAATGCAAGAGAGAAAAAATAAGGGAAAGAGATTAAAACAAATGCAATGGGGCACACATTGTAGTTTTTTTTATTTTCTACACAAAAATGTTAGGGTTATATACTATTTTTCTAAAATTAGTCACGGAGATTCACCAATGTTTTACAGCACAATATTGATCCAGTTAATAAATGGAAATTGATATGTTTATGTGCCAGCCCCAAAAATAAACTGTTTCTGTTGTTATGGAAATGATAGGCTTGGTCCTGCTGAAGGCAATGACAAGTATTTATTTATTTATTTATTTATTTAAAGTTATTTTTTCTTTTAGTGTATTTCAAGCTCCGGTCATGGTGAAAATTCAAGACAATCATAGCCAGAGTCATGGCTATTCTCTGCATCTACTGAAATATTTGTTGCAAACATTATTCCTTTATTTCTAATCTTTCCCCGCCCGCTCCAAGTGCTGCATGACTTAGCAAATGTACAACAGCAGGCTAATTTCCAAAGCCTCCAGCTAGAACAGCGCTTCCAACAGTTCAGACAAGAGGCCACCAGAGCGTGCCCTCCATTAGTTCTTTCTCTGTGGGTTGATCATATCCAGAAGGCCATCTTTGACCGCCATCTGCCCTAGAAGTTTTACTTGTCAAGGATCAAAACTCATATTTGGAAATTTCAGCTGCTTTTGTGCAGAAACATATTTCTATAAATTTATTTGTATGTTCACTATACAAGATCTGTTTACCCTAGCCCTACTTTAAATAGTGTTGATTATTATTATATTTTTTTCTGTTGGGTTAATAATTATCAGCATATATGTTTAGATTTAATTTTGTGCTTTTCAGACTGGCTTTTCAAAACATCTCTCCTGCAGTCTTCTGCCTCATCATCTTTTCCTGACCTTCATTATTAGGCTTTTGGACTTGAATGTAGGTCTGGACTTTGATTTAGCCATCTCAAACATGTTTTAATCTAAACCATTTCACTGTAACTCGGGCTGTATGCTCTGTGTCACGCTACTGGTGAACATTTACCCCATCCTCTAACCTGTTGCCTTTCAGTATTGCCTTTAGATGACCTCCATCCATTTCCCAAAAAACTCAGACCAGTTTCTGTGTCACTGTTAAAGAAAAGCACCTCATCAGCATGTTGCTGCCACTGGTATTTTTCACAATAAGGATGGTGGGGTTTTTTGTTGCTCTTGTTTTTTTTTTTTCAGGTTTACAGTTGTGTTCTATGACATGTTGAAAGATCTGGAAATTGATTTTTAAATAACTTTGCTTTAATTTCCCCTACAACTTCACTTCTGATCTGTCCAGTGTGTTATTTGGTTCATGCTGCCGTTGTTCACTATTGTTCTCCAACAAACCACAAAGGCCTTCATAGAGCAGCTGTGCTTATTGTGAGTTTAAATTACACACACCTTCCTTCAATTTACTAATTAAGCAAGTATTTTGAAAGTCATTCATCATTTTCCCTTACAGTCACATAAATGTTTGTTGTTTTAACCTGGAAACTTTTACATTTTTGCAATGTGAAATTTTTCTGCCAAACAATTTACTTATTCTTTCCAGCACTGTGAGTTTTGCTGTTTCTTTGATGAGATCTTGTTACTTGTGACTTCTTCTGATATGTGGCTCTTTTGGAAAGAAGACGATGACTGAAGCAATCATTCAGTGTCTCCTCTTTCTCCTCTTTATGTAGCAGACTGGCATTTTCATGTTTTTATTTATGGTTAATTCTATATTTTGTTGCATATTTATGTAACCTGCCATGGTTGTATCCAATTGTTTATACGTCCATTATCTGTACCTGCCAAATCCTCTTAAGAGCCGTGAGGGTGAAGGGTTTTAGAGTGGTCAGCATTTTAGAGGTATTGAAATACACCCAAATAGGTCATGTATGGCAGGTTATGGTTTATGTAAGCAAAAAACAATGAAATTCTTTCCTACATTGTAGGCAGAGCAGCTGTCACCCTGTGCACACATGTACCTTAACAAGTAGAGACAGAAGTGCCTGGAAAAATTACTGCTCCTCCTCCACATACTCCAAACTTTTATGAAGCTGCACATCTCGCCACTGCCCCTCTTTAAACTGTCTGAATGCCATCATCCATCTCTGCCTCCCACACCTCTACCTCCTCTTCACTGCTGTGTGAGCGTGACAGAGAAAGACAGACATTTTAACATGCACACGCTCTTAAACAAATCATTTGCATTTTCTCATCTTTTTTCGGCAAGCAGCCATTTGTGCAGAACCTCGACAGCGGTGTTACAGAAATTTTGCTAGCTTGTTGTTTTTTTTTTTTTTCCCCTGATGGTTTTATTATATTATTGACCTGCAGAAAAAAAAAACAAAACAAAACAAAACAAAAAAAACAATAGTGAACACCAACCAAAAATTGTGTGAACAACAAAAAGAGAAATTAAATCTAGAAAATTTTGTGAAAACAACTATTTATAATGCCGACACATTGGGAAGCTTTGCATATTTAGTGATGAGATGCTAAAACTTCCAGTCTGTGATTAGTGAGTCAGAATAAGATGAGTAGAGAACTAAAATTTGTTGTTAAAAATATGCACACAAAAAAGAACAACACTGAGCTATTGTTTCTTCTTCACCACCTGGCTGCTGAAAGTCTGACGCTGAAACACAACCTCAGCAAGGTCACACTAGGTGCCGCTGCCCACCCTCTCTCTGTGCTCATCTCCCTGGAAACAAGATAGTTTTCGGATGCTTTTCTGCACAAACAACAGTGAGGGAAATGCTGCCATGCTTGCTTAAAAGCTGAAAGGAAGTCTGCATCAGATCCTGAGTAACTGCAATTTGTTCATTAAATTAAATTGCAGCCTTCTTGTACTTGTTAACATAATAATCTTTTCAGTCAAGGAGTTAACCAAGCAAGCGAACAGCTAGCACTCAGCAAACCGCTCACAGAATGACACTTCACCCAAAGGCATAGAAGCTTTATTTGATTGGCCATTTTCCACACAGAACAGAGTCACTTTAATTTGAGCAACATGGTTTGGATTTTTACAACACCAAAGGACTCTTTGCACATCAAAAAACAAGTGCAATGACAACAGTTTGGACCAAGGGAAGACACAAATGTCCTTACAACACAATCTGCAACCTTCTCTTCAGTGGGGATTTTGGCAGTGCAATAAGTAAAAATTATTAGATTTTCACTTTAAAGGATAGAAACATTTACAGTTAAAATGACCACGTGCTCTTCAGGGTAATAATGTAGAAATCGATGTAGATGGAAAGAAACCTGATGAACTCTAGAAGCTTTTCATTCATGCACAAAGTGAAGGACGAAAGAGATTTGAAAATTAACAGCAGCTCAGTTAAGATACCGGTTATAGGAGAATGCTTTAGTAATTTGCACATTTTCTGCAGTTACAGAATGTAGAAACGTTCCACAATATAAAATGTCTGACATAACTCAGAACCACACAGAAGTGAAAGTGTTGGAGCAGATACTACTAACATGTCAGGCTGAAACTCTGTCACTCAGAAGAGACTTCTTAAGAAATGATACATTTACTCACAAAACGTACATTCAGCAATTCAAGCTGAGTAACATTTTTTTAAATACCAAACTTTACCAGAACATCCTTACATCCTTTTCCAGAAGAGTTCACATTCCCATGGCATTTAATCATGTTAAAAGAAAAGAAATATGATTATTTTCCTGCATATTGTGTAAAACCCTGGAGATGTTGTAGCTGTAGGGACGTCCCAACCTAACCATTACACCTGTGGTTGGGTTACTCATTACAAATTAGTTTTGCACAGTCAGTTTTGAAAAAATATGATCTGTCTTCAAGTATGTTATTACAATGCAACACTGTGTGCTATGGATATTAATTTGTTGATCTTGAAAACCTGGGATTTCAACAAGGTGAATGTTTTTTACCCTTTACATTGGTGTCCATAGTAAACGTGAGATTGTTGCCGTGTCCATTTGTCCTTCTCTGCACGTGTAATTTAACGTTATTAAAGCAGTGGAAGAACTTTTTATGTCAGATTTTACCGTACTGAATGACACACCAATTAGTCATTCAGTTGACTTGCATATGTGATATGCAACTCGTCTCAAACATTCCCAGACTGTTTGTTGTCAGCTTAGGCAATTAAGTATGTGTAAAGCAACTCTAGTGTTTAAATTGTGTGAAATTTAAAGCAAAAGGGTTAGAAAAATGTTTTCTGTAGCTTTGTTTTGCCTGAGATTAACTGAAACCACTCTGAAATGTGTTAAATGTAATCCTGATAAGGTGTAGTGTATTTTACTGAGCTTCATAACTACCATTTTTTATTAACCATCAATCTGTGACACAAAATTCTGTAAATTAAACTCATCGTAAAGCACAGTGGCCACATTTGGACTGCTTAATCTAACATGTTTATAATTTTCTGACTTGAATTAAGTTGCTAAGTGACTGCTAAGAAGTGTTATCACCTGTTATCATGAAGGAGAACATCTCACAGTGACTCACGTGCTGCGGTACAGAAATGAACACAAACAAACATACAAGGGTCAAGTTAGTCCCAAAAAAAAGGCAGACTGTGGGTACAGTCATGTACCAAAATATAATCATTTACACTTGGCTATCGCAACTTAGAATCCACCATGTTGTAGAACAAACAGTTGGATGTTTTGACCATTAGAAATGAGGGAATAAGTGCATCTAAGTGCATTTCTAACAGAGCAAGTAGATGCTTGTTATGAAAATGGGGAAATTATTGTCAAATGCAGATGGAGAAAATATATCTGCACCAACAGCATAGATATTATTCCCCTGTTAGCCAAGATGCTCTCTGGCTCTCTCTTCCTGTGTGGTTATAAATGAGCGAATCCACGGTTTTTATCAATCAATCCACAGCTGCCTGATGATAAATGTCTCGGCTGTAATTCCAACTACAGTGCATATCGCTACTGAGTAAAAACCTCAATGAGAGATTACTGCTGGAGGACAAATATGGAAATGATTTTCTTGTCAGTGTAATGAATAAACACACCGGAACACCACATTTTTATGACACTCTGCAGCCAAACTTCAGGAGGAGAGTTTGAAAAACACATGCAGTGAGTGACATGAAAGGGGATGCATATTGTCTGAAAAATAACCAAAAAATAAATAAATAAAAAGACTGCACTTGGACTGATTTTTCAAACGGGACATACGAGAGCTAGCTACAATTTACGAGCCAACGATTTCAGTTACACATATTTATTTAAAACACCCTGTGGCAAAACTGTTATCACTAGAATATCAAGACGGATGTAAAAGTAAAATCAGTTGAAGGTAATTATGCTCTGAAAACCTGTGTTAGACGGGGTTGCGAGCCTGAAGACGGTATATTTGAGGGAAAAGCAGATATTTTTACAGCTGAGGGAGTAACTTAAATAACCACTAAATCTGGAAATAAAAAAAGGTCTTGATCCCAAAAATAGGAAACAAATTAACCTCATTCTCATGGTGTTCCAACCAAACATCAGTGTATTTTTTCCACCAGCCTAATCTTGGTCTCTTCTCCATCCTCCCTGGTCTCTCAGTCCACTATAGCCCTAAATAAAGAGAAAGGAGCCGCAACATTGCTTCCCTCCTGAAATAAATGCCAAAGAGCGTAGATTGAGAGCAGAGCCCAGTACACCCGTCATCCGGTGGTGGCAGCTGCGCTCTCTGGTGTCCCAACGTGGGCTCTCAGGTTGCGTCGTCATCTTCGTCTTCATTCAGGTGATGATAGTTGAGGCTGATGACGGCGCTGATGAATTCACCGAGCTCGACAAAATCGGCTGTAATAATGTTGATGCCATTCTCCCCGGGTCTTTGAGATCTGATCCACTGCATCATGCCCGGTAACGCCCTGAGAAGGAGAACAGAAACAAACAAAAGACACACATACGATAGCATGTTAGGGGGAAAAAAGGGCAGATGCTTCAGGTAAATGTTTCTCTATCAGTATTAATTGTTTAAATCCTCCTCCTCTCCCCCCCCTCCCCTGGGAGTTTATGGTATTGTACCGTTGACATGGTACAGTATTGTTTGTCAGAGAAAGGGATAAAACACAGTTTTGTGTACGGAAAAACGAGCTGTGATAAAAGACTTTTTTAACACAGCGTGTGATGTTTGGCTGTGTCCTTCTCACAGCTGGTGTCGGGCTATGAGAAGTGCACTCTGAGCTCTTGTCGGACATGTTCATGAATATCGAGCAACAGGGGAGGACGTTATCTTTGCAGATACCTCACTCCACGTGCCCCCCGCCCCCACCAAATTCTAGGATTTTTCTCCCTCCCCACACCCCATCTCATGCACGACTGTTTTCTTGCATTGCAGAGTCCTCTACTGATTTGTGAGTGTTGTGCAATGAATGCTTGGAACTTTGAAGGATGTCTGCAGCTGACTGCCTGGTGAGAATGGCTGATAGAGGAATTATCAAATGAATAATTCATACCAGGAAAATTGATGGTTTTGGTGCCAAAGCTTTTAACAAGCTGGTGACATTAAGATGGAGTGAAACACAGACAAAGTTGGGGATAAGCCTAGAAAATGAGTCCTGCAACACGGGGGAGGTACACAGAGAACAAAGAGAAAAAAAAAAAAAGCAATGGTTTTGTTACTTTTAAAGCCAACAAACCAGCTCAAATGAGGTCACGGCCAAATGCTGGGGGACATTTGTAAAAACCCAACACACATGCTGATTAAGTTATTTAATGCCACAACGGCTCACGTATTTCTATCTCTGCGTGTCCACACCGTGAGTTGTTATGGGTAAATTATGCCACCTCAGAGACCGCTGGCGCTTGAGGTGTAGCAGCAGTTTTGGTCCCAGATGGTTGTTGCTCTTTTTCCTAATTGGTGTAAACTCTGCATGATTTGCATGCCCTATTGTTATGCTGAAAACAAGCATAACAATGTTTTTGTTGGTTTTTTTTTTTTTTTTGGCCTCTCTGGAATAAATACCTTTCCGTTATCGTCTCCCTCAGTCCGCTGGCCACGCCCTTCATCACAGTACTTGCCTTTGGTGTGAGAACCACCTGGGAGACGAAGAACGTCCCCTTCCTCCTGCAGAAGAAAAGAACATGTGTATGTAAACTTCTGATCAGAATCGTATGAGAGTTGGTTATTGAAATAAATGCTGTTTGCAAACCTGCGGTCAGTTACAGACGCCTGGAGAAACTGAACAAGCTTCTCTGGGTCGGTGGTGTTGGCCCACGGAGCAGGCATCATCTGGCCGGGCCACAGGAAGGGAACCTCCAGGGCCATGGGGTGGTGGTAGAAGACAAGCACCTGGTACTCCTTCTCCCAAAGATACTTCAGAGTCACCTGTGTATAGGCGGGGAATTACAGGATAACAGATCATTTAATGAGAAATGAGCCCTCCTCTACTGTGAGTTCAACCAGATCAATTGTGCATAAAGAAGCATCCAAACAATTGAAAAATTGAATATCGCGGGTCTCGGTTTCATTTAATTTGACTGGAAAAAATACATTAATCTGCATGTTTTATTTCATTTGTGTGCAATAGAGAAGACGATATTGGCAGAATCAAGATCAGAGGAGCGCAAGATGACAGAAAGGTTGTGCAGTGCTTTGATATATGCAGTGCCTTGAATGCTTTACCCTTTTTACCCAAATCCATCATGATGTATAATGTGTCTTTTTAAAAAAAATGTAGACAAAAGAATCATGTCAAAGAGAAAACTGATTTATACAAAATGACATTTAAATAAGAAAATATTTGACATAAAATAAATAATTGCATAAATATTAATCTCCTTTTAAAGACACAGATCTAAATAAATAGAGGTCCAGCCTCTATTTATTTAGAGTAGTGAGACTACTCACTACAGGGTGAGTAGTCTCACAATTAGCTTACTTGTACATCCAGCCCATTGGGAGCGACTGCACCCTGTTTTCTTATAATTTAGGCACTGTGAGAAAAATGGCTTTAGGGTAAAGCTAGAGAAAGTTAGTATTTGATACATAAGTTGGCAAATGGCCATAATAGGGCCATTTTATTTGTTTTATGAGATATGTAACTACTTTTGGTCATTTCCAATAAAATCTAATGATACTGGTTCCCTTGAACTGTAATATTCTACACTGAAGGGAGATGTTGTTAACAAAAACCTGACATTTTTGTAAAAAGCTCAATGCATCGGAGACCAATACGGAAACCGAAATTTAAAGACAATTCAAACAGGGACTGAGCTATTTTACTCACTTTGACATATACTCACAGATTCCTTAAAACAGATTTGAAATGTGACCTTTTTAATCCACTTGTAAAAATAAAAGCATTGGTATCAGATCCAGAGGGAGGCTATCTGAACTATCATTGCTACTGTGGGACTTTCAGCCTGAGAAACAAGAAACGACTAGCTGATCAGACTTTGTGGTGAGGGACAAAACAGAGCAGAGAATCACAGATCGAAATGATTAAGAGTAACAGCAAGGTAATATGAGAAGCAGAAAAAAAAATGCCATAGGTTCAAATAGCAAACAAAAAAGCTATGAAATGTCAAGGACTCAGTGGTGATCTCCAAACTGGGGTAATGGCTGCAGCAGATTCCAGGAAAAACCTCTGAGATCTCAGATGAGTACAGTTCTGGCAACGGCTAAGATATGGAGAAGTGAAGAGAGAAAAGTCTTTGACATTCCAGCTGCACGTCACCCAATTCACCATGACAAAATCAAGACTGAAATCTTTATTGGAGCCCACTGTGATAAGAGAGTGACTGTGAGATAAGAAGATGTCAAAGCAATGGTTTATTAGAGTATCTTCTACATGTGATAAGCCAGAAAGACGGGGAGAGAAGGTGCTTTAGTACAAGTCAGGCTGCACAATGATTACGAGTATACTGAAAATAAAACCTTCTGAAAAATGAAACCGACTAAAAATGGAATGTTCATAAAAGATAAAAAGAAAAAACTATCATTAAAGAAATGACAATCATCAAAGTGTGGATAAAAACGTAAAGAGTCTTCTGTGCAGTGCAGGGCTGAGACCACTCAAAAAGTTTATATCCTCATGGACACAAGTTGTTAAAGTTACAAAACTCTTGAAATAAATTACAGGGGGCTGCATTGTTGAAATATAGATGCATTTATACCTCTTGAGCAAAAACCACTGGGCAGAGTTTTTCTCCAAAAACTTCTTTCAGCATGGCCACCAGCTTTTCGTGGTGCAGGTTCTGCACACCGTAGAAGTGGTTGAAGTCCAGGAAAACGACTTCTTTGGCATGTGCTGATAGGAAGCTGCTGATCTGCTCTAAACCCTCGCGGACCTGAAAACAGACACATGAAAATCACCACTAATAAGAAATCCGTCTACTGACATTCTGACACCAAAATCTAAATGCATAAAAAGCTTTGACTTTCCACTTGAACCTCTTGAAGTACCTTGCACAATTAGGCTCTCAGTCTGCACTCGAGCATACAGTTAAATAAACTGCCACGTGCAAGGAAATGAAATAACATCACTTAGCAACCACAAGTATCACCAAAAAGTCATTGCATCAAAAAAAAAAAACAAAAAAAAAACATCAGAGCTGTGTGCTTCTCTGCTGACCGTGGCACTGAAGAGCCCGTGGGCGAAGTACAGCTCGTTGTCGGGGTCACGGGGCTTGGTGGAGATGCGCAGGTCAAAGAAACGGATCCCGGCCTCCAGCTGGCTAGTGAAGTTCATAGTCTGCGTGGCCAACCATTTCCTCATTAGCTTCTTGGCTACTGTACCAAAAACAGACACAAAGTTCTGCACTGTCTCTGGCTGCTCGGGGCCCACTGGGGATGCCTCATCAATGTAGAAACTGAAGGAGTCGTGAGAACCTAAAGGAGGACACAAACACGAGTCTGCATTAAGGCACTGTCAGTTTCAGGTTTTATTCCTGGTGAAAGCCAGCTGGCAAGAAAGGGGTCAGTAAAGTAATGTACCAGGGTGCCATGGCAACAAGTAGCTGAATAATAGCAGCATGAACTCTGAAAACTTCAATCAAATGAAGAAAATCTGTGAATGGTAACAATAATACTTTTCATCCATTATATTTCCCAACTTTTTTGATAAACATTTTATTTTTTCCTATTTCCATGGCTCACTTGCACTTAGCTGTGGCCCTTATAATCATTTGGTTTGAACTCAAGTATGGTACAACAAGGGCTATTTTGCTTTGACTGTCAAGCAGGTGGACAATTTTGGATGTTAAGTGTTTAATAGTAAGCAAATAAGGACATTATAATGGTATAAATTAAGTTAATTTGTACAGTGCATTTCAGCAACAAGGCAGTTCAAAGTGGTTTATGTGAAACAAGCAATAAGCTCTATTTCCTCGGTCATCCTAGTTTCAACAAAAAAAACTAAAAAAAAAATCTAAAAGTGGAGATATGAAGGCTAGACGCTGTCTGAAGGTGAAAATACAGAAAAACTGAGATCTTTGCATTTATTTAAAATATGTCAAAAAGTTAATTCCAGTTATTAAACATGGAAGTTATGTCCTCCCATGCCAGCTTGACAAGGTAAATATGTTGTGATAATTGTACATGTTAGTAGGCCCTGTCCTTGCCATTGCAATCACTCCTGCCACAAAATCCCATTCCTTGCTTTTTAGGCACACTGAAGGACCACCCACCCCTTCCATCAACAAGCTGACATGCAGCCCGAACTGACCTTCAACCATCTACACGAACCAGAGCCAGGTCTTCACAGCCAGCTCAGAGAATGACCATAAGCAGGGTGGACAGCTGAATCCTGGGGCGGTGGAGCTAACTGCATCACTGCTGGCTGAGCCGCACCGTTAGGGTCACAGTGTAACACGCCATGACCTTAACCAGCTGCAGCAGCTGCACCGCTGGATTTTTTTTATTTTTTTATTTTGCTTTGTTTTGTTTTTGTCTTTCCCTTTTTGGCACAGGAAGTTTTGCTTCTTTACATATATCATAATTCAAAAATCTTTTCAGCGTGATATTTTTTTCTTTATATATTAAATGGAAGCTGGAAGCAAATAACATCATTAGCATCTGATATGCTACAATAATCAGCATCAAAGCACGTAAAATGAAAAATCACTTGGTCCCATAATTTATCCAATAAAATATCAAAATTCTGAACCACATGGTTGAGTAAAATAGCAGGGCTCCATATGCAAAGGCTGCAGCTCTCAACCGGTTCGATTCTCAGCCTCTTGCTGTCCATCTACTAGTGAATAAAGGTCACTTATACCACAAAAAACTAATTCCACACACAATGTGACAGGGAAAAAGGAAAACAAATGTGGCTCTCAGTTATTTAAACAAAGGGTTTCAATAACTAATTCTGAGTTTTAATGCACAAATTTTAACAGAGTTGAAAAAGGGAGGGAGATATGTAGAAGTTGTCACACCACTTGGACAAGCCAGTTTTCCCAGGTTAGAACACAAACGTGGAACTGGAGAAGAGAGAGCCTATGTTACTGGTCCATAACCACACTGTTGGCCCGCATAAGGAATCCACTTGGAGTTCTGTTCATGATGCTTCATTTCTATATTACTCAGCTCATCTGAAGGTAAAATCTCAGCTCAAAAGCGACTGATTTAACCAGAATAATCATTTACCGTGGAAGGATTTTTAGCTGCGCAAAAAAACCCAAAAAAACTCCAGATTTCTTTTCCCCCCACACAATCTGCAAAAGCAAAGAGTTTTTGTTTTGGAGGATGACAACAAGAATGGCTGAACCTTTCATAAATATTCAGAAGCACGAACCGGTTTTAACCTTAAAGCCTCAGTTAAATGTTGGGAAACTGCAACAGCATAGCATAGAGTTATTTATGCTGGGAAAATCAGATCTACCTTTGTGTCTTTCAAAATGAAGTTTGCAAACATTTGGCGAATGCTAACAGCTTTGTGCCTCTGCCCTCAGTGAGTCAGAGGTGTGAAAGGAAAATAACAAATAGCTTTTCAAGAAATTTACGCTAAGATAAAAAAAAAAAACAGAACAAAGCACATGCATTTATTGCCACCAAATCTTAAAAGCATTCTGAGGCCACCATTCTGACTCAGCCGTGCATCTTTTTTTTCCTAGCTCTATGTTTGGTTTGCATCTCTTTCTGTCTGAGTCTCTGTGCTCAGCTGCACTGGGAGCCTGCAGCTTCTGGGGAAGGAGTTGTCAAGAGGAGCTGATTAACTAATCAGTAGTGGACTTTGGAAAATGTCTATCCACATCTCAGTAGGAAGCCACTTGGGGGGAGATTTTTCTGCCACATTCTTTAAAACGGAAAGTAAGAACTGTGATTAATCAAACATTGCTGATAGAAACCATCTCCTGTGAGATTGGGGCTTCCAAACTTGATCATTCTGGACTAAAAGCAAACCTGCATTACATTAATTGCTATATAAAGTTTAAAAATCAAGGATTCATTTAGCTGATAATGTATTTAGGAGGACTCCAGGCGATCTAAAAATTTTTGTGATAGCATACTAAAGAAAACATACATAGCATATGAAAAAAATATCAAAGTTATAAGTCCCTTGGCTTTTCAGCAAGATTACAACTCTTGGGATTTATTTTAAATCTGAGCTCCTAAGACAAAAAAAAACAAAAAAACTAAGGTTTGTTTGTGGAGTGCTGAGAAAAATGCTTTAAATATGTATGATGAAAATATATGTCTCACACCTAAAAGATTTATCGAAATGTGTTAAAATAAATGATAGAGGTCACATTTAATTCTTCTAAAAACTACTGTTTAATGCCGTTTGCTTCAGTTTAATGTTGCTTTTTGCAAACTTCGAATGACAACAATTACAGCAAAAACAGTAAATCCTGCTCACAATGGATCCTGAAATATCAGCAGACTTTGAATTCTTATCAACATTTTAGATCCTTTATTCACAAATATTGGATAAAATATACCCAGATAGCACAGAATGATTGAAACAACATTGAA